AAAAATCTTCCAATCCACTTAATTTCTGCTTAAAATCCTCTTGAATCGCACTTCCGACACCAATTGTTACGGATTCCGTGGGTCCACTATTTAAACTCACGATAAAATACTTAACGAATTTATTTGTTTCACTCTGTACACAACTTATACTATTTACAACACAACTTATGCAACTACTATTACTCTAACGGTATTTCGCGGTATTTTCAAACTTCAAACTTCAAACTTTTAAACTTGTCCAACTGTCAAAGCGCGGGCCTTATATACCCCCTGGCGGTTGTTTCTAGATTTTTCTAAAGAATTCTATAATTTTCTTTACTTTCTGGCGAATGCGCCAGGTTCCTCAATGCACCGTTGCGGTTATGCAACCAGTAATACACATTTACCTTAACAATATAGACTGAGCATCTCATTCATAAATAGCTGGAACATGCGGTCAGACAATATCTTGTTATTGTTGTGTTATTGTTTTAGGTTATAACGAGTGCGACACGAGCGATAGATAGGTTGTCTCTGTCGTAACGGTCGTTCCCTGACGACTCTGCCGAGAAACACAACACTGTCTTTGGTTTCTCAAGTACACCTGAACTCTCCGTCTCATAGCCGGGTAATTTTTTATTTTAATGAAGCTATAATTAAATTAAAAATATATCGTATTTAAACTTTTTATATTTTATTAAGATTTAGGACAGGTTTTTTAAATAAAAGTTTAGAAAAAACGTCTCAGAGTCCAAAAAGGATAAAAATAATAAAATACACGTTATAGAAGAAATTTTATAATCGAAATTACGTAATTTTTGAAATTAATAATAAATTATTAATTTTAGTCAAACATTTACAACCCCTAATATTAATCAAAACAGGATCTATTCCACAGATATAATAGAATCGGCGACAGGGAGAGAAAAAAAATATATGATTGTTGTAATTTTTTCTCTGGTTAAGTGATGTTTTTATGTATAATGTAAATTAGAGAAAACATAAATATGTTCCATTAAAGCAAGGAAGATGATAGGAAGTGGATAAAATGAAAACTACATTTATTTAACTCGGTACTGTCTTTATTATACCGGGTGCGTCCCAAAAGTGGCTCATCCCCATAATTTTTTTATATTTTCAAATAAAAAAACAAGATTTAGCATGTTAGTATATGACATAAATTAGGATTGATTGACGCATTCAATTGTTTTTGGTCACTTCCCGTTTCACCGGAAATGACTATAACTTTTAATTTTTAAACGGCACCCTCGGTATATTTCTACTTTATTCGATAGAAAATGACACTCTGAATAGAATGACATATAATATGTCAACTTTTGACATTTTCGCATATGGTTTAATTGTAATTGTAACACGCGGTTCATAACGACAATTTGACTCGAAATACCAAGTGTGTGGTATCAATATATTCATAAAAAATGCTTTTTTCCAAATATGCTAATGAGTCACCCTTGTTCCATTTGAAAAAATTGACATATGTATGATTAAAAATACGATTTGTACATCTTTTAACCGGCCTAGACAAGACACGAAACCTATTAGACGATCAAAACTATTTTTCCAAGGCTCCATGATTAAAACTTTGTGTTTTTAACAACACCATGGCACCCTGGATTGAAATTTAAAATAGGTTATATTTTTAAGCGACAATGTCAAAAGTTGACATATGATATGTCATTCTATTCAGAGTGTCATTTTAAAAATCAAAAGATGTAATCATTTCGGTGAAACAGGAAGAGACCAAAAACAATTGAATACGTCAATAAATCCTAATTTATGTCATATACCTACTAACATACAAATCTGTTTTTTTTATCTGAAAAAATAAAAAAGTTATAGGGGTGAGCCACTTTTGAGACGACCCGGTATAAGTATATATTATATATAATATATAAAAATATTGTTTCATAATGTAATATCATTTTAAAATTCTTGTATGTTATTTTAGATTCTGAAGATAATTTTAGAATAAACCGGAATATATTTTTAATAAAAACATTATTAATTATTAACAGGGTTATAATTATGATTTTGTTACAATGTAAGTAAGTAAATAATGTAATGTAAGAGAAAAAATTCAGATTTTACATTTTACTAAAATATTATCTAAATAAGCGCCTTTCTACAACAACGCCACTGACTCCCAATGGGTAAATTGAGAGTTGCCTACCGGTCAAAAAGTCGTTTCAAGACATAAATGGATTATTTAAGTCAAATTTCTTGCAAATTTGGCACTGGCGAACCATATTTTATAGTTTTTTGAACAGAAAAGTCAGTAAAATAAACACTTAAGGACTACAAGCTAAGAAAATGCGTTAATACAGCCGGGGAGATAGCGGCAACAAAGCTTTACCGCACACGTGCGACACGTACTACAAGGTAATAAATGAATGAATAGGCTCCCTCGCCTCTAATCGGTGTTGTCATATTGTAAAGAACTTATCCTTATTAAACAGTATCCGACTGATAATTTAGTAGTATAAGGACTATTTAATACATCTATGGAATATTAAAACCTACTTTATTAAACTTTAGTATTAATATCTCAATATATGTGTATAACAAGAAAAAGATAAATAAATATTGATAATATTAAAGACGTGACAACATAGGCTGGATGAGGAAGGCTCGGTCGACTGTACCCAGAAGTAAACATGTGTTCAAAAAAGGTTGTTTGTCCGCGTTGAGATGTAAATAGTGTAGTCTATATTTTATTTTAAGTCTATGGTATCAATACATGAGTTATTAATAAAACTTTACTAATTATTATATTTTTATTCTATTTTTCTCTATTAGATTTTATGTTCTCCCAAGGATAGCGGTTGCAACCTTAGCCTTTGCCTCAGCAGTTCCCATTTGGAAGATGTTTAGTTTAAGAATCGATAGCGGCAATAACTTTGAATTTAGTCACAAACTCATTTTTGTAAGCAAGTAACTTTTGTCTAAAATAGATTCAGATTTGTTTGTGTTTTCAGCCTGTAAATGTATTAAGATTAAAGTTCTATTTAAAGAATTAATCATTAAGTTCATCATTCATATTTAAGTTCATTGTTGAAAATTCAAAACAAATCATCAAGTACTAAAAACATAACTTATATAAGCCAAATTTGGTATACAGTATCACATTATAAATGGGCTTAAGCCCCGTTCTCAGAACAACGTCTTTAAACTAAATTTAAAATCGACAGCTGTTTGAATTTTGTACAAATCTCATTGGTTCTTCTCTAAAGCAATGTTCTGAGTTCTGAGAACTGGGCTTCATTGGTTAATTTGACGTGTCGCTGGCGACAGTCGGAGTAAAGGTCGGAGTTGAAGGAAAGAACCAATGAGATTTGTACACAATTCAAACAGCTGTCAATTTTAAATTGTTTGAATTTTGTACAAATCTCATTGGTCCTCTTGACGTGTTCTGAACAGCGACTGTCGCCAGCGATACGTCAAAAGAACCAATGAGATTTGTACAAAATTCAAACAGCTGTCAATTTTAAATTTAGTACAGCTGCCATTGGTCGTTTGAAGTGTCAATCAGTGTAGTCAAGAGGACCAATGATATTTGTATAAAATTCAAACAACTGTCAATTTTAAATTTAGTACAGCTCCCATTGGTTGTTTGAAATGTCAAACTGTGTCGCCAGCGACACGACGTCTTTCTGAGAACGGGGCTTTAGGAAAAAACTACGGTATGATCGAGAAAAAACGGCGTCAGCGATGGATGTGAAATGAAGATCGCTGTCATTTTGTATGTAAATTTATATGGGAAATGTCATCGATCGTCATTTCCCAGCCAACTGGACGCCGTTTTTATTCGATCATACGGTATATCCATGCAAGTTGCATAATCAGTTAAAAACTTCCAGAGTTTCAGGAATTTTCCTAATTATCTCTTTATGATTCATTACTATCTGTTTTAGATAGTTAACTGTTATACATAAAATAAACTTAAATCAATAAAAAGTAATATGCTAGGGGATTGTCAAAAATATATATTTGAACTAACTAGTTCAGGTAATTATTGGGAAAACTGGAAATCGTCCGATTTTCACCAAAATTGGTATACACACTATTTTGAGGTCGTAGATTACGAATCTGAACTTTTTTCTTGGCGGTCTCTTACCGTTTTCCAGAAAAACGGAAAATTATTTCAACATTGAATTTTTGTTTATTTCGGCCCTATAAAGTAATAATTTCACTAGATTTTCATTATATTATAGTTTATCTAAAAGCTACACTTGATTGGGGATAGACAAATGTTCGGAGGGGGTTAATCTTTTTTTGATATAATATAACAACAAAAGATTAACACCCTGCGCATGGAAGTTGTAACCAATATCAAAACTCTTTCGTGCAACTTCTTGGTTATAAATAGTCAGATCTCGTTGGTAAAATAGCAATTATAGGAAGGAGCCGTTCTTCTGGCGACCGCCTTTCGTAATCCCAGAATGAGCGAAAAAAACACGCTAAATTTAGGTTTAGCGTTGGCAACGTTGCTTTAAATGTGAGAAACACATAACCCAACATTTTCAATTTTCAGATTGTTTACAAATTTATTTTAGCAAATTTTCCTCTATTATGTATAGAATTGGTTAAAAAAGTAACGGAAAATAGCAATAACATCATTGTTTATTGAATACCTAACAAAATATGTGCTAGAAAACTTTCAAAATATGAGAAATTAAGAAAAATTCGATGTTGAAATAATTTTCCGTTTTTCTGAAAAACGATAAGGGACCGCCAAGAAAAAAGTTCAGATTCGTAATCTACGACCTCTAAATAGGATGTATACCAATTTTGGTGAAAATCTGACAATTTCCAGTTTTCCCAATAATTACCCTAGTTAATTGTAATTTAGACTGTATAATGAGTTGTAACTCAAGAAAGGGGGAGACAATAGATCTTTAAGGTCGCGGTGATTAACTCCCTCTCACTTCTCACTCCATTCTACAACTAGTTAATTTTGCACAAAAACACTACAAATAAATTACACAAAAACACTACAATACCTTGATTTAAATAATGCTCCTGTGGATGTCTGATAATCTAATGGTACTACAAGCTCTCTAATCCTTCGATGGGGTTCTATTCCTATTGGTTTATCTGATACTACTTCAATCATAAAGTTCTCCAAGCCTGCATCAATACACTTATTCATATTTCTATTTACATTATTTTTTACAAGTTCTGGGAAATCCCCACGGGTAACCACACGTATGCATATAAATGGTGCTAGTAAAGGAGATCCTTTCAGAGCAACTTTCTCAGGAAATGCATTATAAAATGTCAATCCGATTACATTAAACATCACTTGAGGTAATGAAAGTAAAGTCACAAATCTTAAAGCATATAAAATACATGCTCCGATAATCCCATATTGTATCCATGGATCAACATTTGGAACAGAGGCAGGCACTCTATAATTTTGTGAAAAACATTGAAAAGAAATTATTATACTCAAAAACAGAACACAGTGTAAAAAATGCTTCATTCGGCTGCTAAGATTAATAAACTGCAATACTGACATATTAGAAATTTCACGAAGTAGCTTCATTTTAATATTTTTATATATATAACACAAACAATCGTTTTTCACACCCTCACTTTATATTTTGTTCAGATCAATAAACAAAAAATTCTAACGACTCGAATTTAATCATAAACACTTGTTTAGCAAAAAATCTTCGTTATATAGCCATCAAACAATATTATTGTTGCTGTTGACTAACTAATATTAATAATTAATTTTCCACCCCAACTGAGTTTATCACACACAAAAACACGGCTAATAATCAATTAAATAATAATATTAAATGTCAACCGCGAACCAACGACCAACGCTTAGTGTGCGAACACAGTGCAAGCAGGTTTGCCGCTTACTGGTAGTCAGCGCCAATCTGGGCACCTATTCTTGACATCGTTCGCAACTTTGCGTATACGCATCACGTGTATTGTTATAAACAGGGTATCCCAGAAATAAGTGCAAGTATTTTAAAGGGTGGTAGATCTCGATAAAATAAACATATTTTCTCTTTGTCGTTTTTCAAATAAGTCCAAAATAACGGAGTTATTTTACTTTGAAAATATCCAAAAAAAATGATTTTTTGCTAAAATTTTGAGAACCTTTTTCATGTGCCTTCTCCTCATCGGAGGTTGGCGACCATCAATTGGAATTCCTGTCTTGAGCCAAACGGATAATTGCACTTGCCTCTCCTATATTAAACCATGGCACTGGCGCAAATTCCGCATGCAGGAAAACCGTTTACGCCCGATGCCTCGTCGTCCTTCAATCTTTCCCTCAACGATCAGCTGTAGGAAACTATATTTGTTATTTCGAAAAATATGACCAAAATATGCTGCTTTTCGTCGTTTTATTGTAGTCAATAGTTCTTGGTCCTTACATATTCTTTCCAATACTTCGAGATTTGTTTGAGAACCACTGGATCTTTTCTGGATTTTCTTTCTTATAAATTTAATCTACTACCTATGTTGCCATATTATCAAGAAATTATTTTTTTAAATAAAAACTAAAAAAAATTGCAAAAAAATTCCAAAAATATTTTCAAAAAATTCCGAATTTTCAAAAAAAAATATTTAGAAAAAAACCTCATAGGCGTGTTTCTGGGGTTGAACTATACTACCAGTTAAGTTAAAATACTTGCACGTATTTCTGGGACACCCTGTATATGGTTACATAGTAGCGCCGCGCCGCGCCGCCTCGCGCTTATAACCTTGAAAAATTAAAGCGTGTTATCAAATCGGCTAGTTCACAGTGAAAGCAGGTAGGAGCCGTCAACCAGCGTTCATCGGCGTTCTCGCTTTTACCGGAACGAAAATTTATTTATTTCTGCTTTTGCAGGCGCCGACGGCGCACAGAGGGTATTAAGAACTAAAAGTTGGCCAAAATTATGTTTTATGATTTTTTTGCTTTTTTGCTAGTAATATTAATTATTAGAGGAGAGGGTGCTAATATGGAACCTCATTTTGTTTTTCCTACACAATATTTTTTCCTCTATTCTGAAACCCTTTCCACCGATCAAATAGGGCCATTCTGTGCAAAACCAAGCAATTGGATGAGGATGCTAGAACAAGAAAGTAATTTGTATATTATAGACGATATTTGAGCGAGGATGGGTGTTATAGGGTAAAGACTATTTCCTTTAAGAATCTATTTAAATCAATGTTTTTTTTGGCAGTGGCAAATATTGGCAAGATTTTTGTACATATTCCAAAGCTGGAGACTTTAAGCATTGAACGGATACTAATTTCCATGCGGAATATTGCCGAATAGTCTTACACCTTATAAAAATGCCTCTGATTTTTTAAATATAAAACATTATAAAGAAATAGATAGAAGGAAACGTTTCAAAATAAAAATATGGCATAAAACAGAACAGAGCAAACAAACAAAGCTGGCTCTGTATCCATCATGACAGTTATTATGAACAATTTGCAAAAAAGCACTACAAACAATTCCACTATTTTTATAATCTTAGAAATATTCAGAATACACTCAAGATAATTCATACTTTTAACTGAAATATATTATTTATTTGATAGTCAACTTACGACTTAAAAAAGCTAATAACTAATAAACTTGCTTAATTAAATGCTTACATTTAGTATTTATAGATTTGTATTCAGTTAAGATAAAAAATGAAAATAAAAAAATATCACTTTTGGCCAGGTTTATAAACCAAATACACCTATGTGCGGCCCCGGCGAGGCGGGCGCGGCGTTTGAATATGGTTTGGTTAGGTTAGGTTAGGTTAGTTAATCAGGTAAATTTCCTCTTAATTATCTACTTCCGAATCCTTCTCGCATCTCCAAAATAGCCATATACAATACACGTGATGCATATACGCAAAGTTACGCATCTGTGTATTGTTATATGGCTTTTTAGGAGATGCGAGATGCGAGCGATATTTGAAGATGCGAGTGGTCAAGAATAGGTCCCCAGAGACGGCGCTGGTTGCCGGAAAGCAGAAACCTGCCTCCACTATGTTCGTACCCTTAGACAAGAAAAGAGAGGGGACGGCTAACACGCATATTCTCCCGTCATCGGTTTGTGAGGCCAAATTCGATCGGCGGCCATACTTTGGTGACAAGATTTTGAGGTGACACCGAGTGACAACTGTTTTGTTTTAAATTTATAAACTGTATTGTTTAGTATGGTGAGATGTTCAGCGTATGGCTGCAAATGCCGAAGCGAGAAAAAATTGGCTGGAATTACATTTCACAGGTAAAAATCGATACACAACTTTTATTATGTGGTTATAAAATGTACATTTTTTCATTATAGCAGTAAAAATATGTAAAATGCTTTTAATATAATTCCAAGTAGTATTTTCAATATCCTGTATTATAATTAATGTTTGAAACTATAAATAATGCTACTCAGCATGGATTTCTCCAGTGGCGTAGGGAATTATAATCAGAGAAATACAATTTCTGCAATAAACATTTTTTTATAAATTTTACATGTAAAAAAATGTATAAAGTATTGTTATCAAATATGTAAAATAATTGTAAACTATAAAAAAATAATATATGTATAGTTGTTATATAAAAATCTATATGCATAGTTGTTATATAAAACTTAAATTTACCTGCCAAGATTTGCTGGGGGTGGACAAACTTGTGGTGGGCTACCTGTTACTACATATATTTTTTTAAATATTCTTTCAAAAAATTTGCTAATTTAGGTGTATAATAATAGTTTCAGTGTAATTAGTAGTAATTAATAAATATTTAAAAATAAATAAAATAACACAAAGCTTCTAGAATTGTTTATTTTTTTTGTGGAAAATTAGGATATTCTTATGATTGAAGGTAAGAAATATTAAAAATTACATTCATTGAATCCGTACGCAAGTGTGAAGGGCAATGGCTAGATTCATTATTATACCGTATGGTCGAAAAACAACACGACGTCCAGTTGGCTTGTAAATGACGATCGACGACGTTCCCCATATAATTTTACATATAAAATGACAGCGATCTTCATTTCATAGCCATCGCTGACGCCGTCTTTTTTCGATGTCGTTTTGTATAGTTTTTATGTCATTTTATATGTAGAATTATATGGGGAATATCATCGATCGTAATTTACAAGACGTTTTTTTTTCGATTATACGGTATAATAATGAATCTAGTCAATTCCCTTCACACTTGCTTACGGATTCAATGAATAATGTCATTTTTAATACTCATTTGTGAAATTGTCATTTCCAAACAAACAAGAAGCCGTTGTTTTCGATCATACAGTATATATGTATATACACGTTTAAAACATATGTTATTACATTATTTTTTATTTAATTATACATTATACACACGTTAATAAATAAATAATTGTCTTGATAATCAGTCCACTGTGACTGTTAAATAAATTTTGCATTATCGACTTAGATATTCTAATATTATAAAGGTGAGACTATAAAATACCAAATTGTATATGCATTACTCAAAAATGAACGATATATTAGTTTACGTTTTAATAAATATTTTGTACCGTCTAGGTACAAGCTAATTTCTGATGCTACGCCATTGGAGAATTTCGCGTGGTGACAACTTGCCTCACTTTCAGCTGTCGTGTTACCTGTCCCCTCACTTTCCTTGTCTAAGGACCAACGACTGTCACTTTGGACAGCTTTGGACCACACCACAGGACCACACTAATTAGAGGTGTGTAGTTCATGACCGAACTAGTTCAAAAGATCTAATCTCACATGTGAACTAAATGATTCAATCAGTTAGATCCTGTTGGATCGAAAAGATTCGATCAACTGAACTAAACTAAAAAAAAGAGCGAGATTGAGACCGCGAACAAAATAAGTAGGGAATTGACGGACTTTTTTGGTAGGTAACTAAGTAGGGAATTGACACGTACGGTTCAACCACCGTACGTGAAAGATTGAATCAAATTGTACTAAACTACGAAACAAAGAAGGGAAGAAAACAAAGAAGAAAAGAAGACAAAGAAGGGAAGAAAACAAAGAAGATACATCATATTTTGATTTTCCTTGGCGAATTGTCATCGGCAGCCCGTTGACTCTTCCAAGAAAATACCAAATGAGCAATAAACGTGTTTCCTTTATATTAATAATTTAAAAATGTTCATACATTTACCTTTATTGATTTTGTTTGTTATTAAGATTTGTAGTTTTGTTATTAGTCTTTTTTAGAATTTTATTTAATAATAATATCAAGGCATTTTGTTCTTCAAGTATTAGTTACAACTATACTAGTAATATTATTTAAAACATTAACATGTTGAACAAATTTCTTTTAAAATTCTGTTTGTTCATGTTTCTTTAGCAAGGTCAGTGTCCTAAAATAACATAAAATAACTAAATAAACGGTAAGGTTTACAAAAAGGCCAAAAACGTCTAAACATAAGATCTCTATGAATGAAAAACTTCTATATTTATCTTAGTAATCCTAAAACTATTTAATATTTCTGATCAATTATCAATTAACTGATTAGAAATATAAAATGATACTAGATATATCACCTTGAAATATTTGTTAATTATAATTATTTTGATTGATTCCATTCATTCGCTGTGCGAAATGCTAATACAGCTCAGTGAATCAGTGAACGAAATGAACTAAACGACCCAATCTTTCTTTTGTACTATTGTACCACAGATAACACATAATCCAGATGGCCATTGCTTACGGAACAGCATGTTTTCGATGAGACAGTTCCCTATTAATGACACAGAGGGCGCCTATAGCCAAATCTAATAATATTTTTAAAACGAACGAATTTCGAGCCACACCACGGCCACGCGATGTGAAGCGACGTAGCCGGTTGTTCATATTTATAAGCAAATTCCCGGTCAAACCCAGGGAAAATG